AAAACCTACGATCATAAACATACCACTCGCCAAATCTAACCGCCTCTTATCGACTAAGCCGTTCGTAGGTTATACGATGTATCCGTTTGAGAAGCGACCGAAACACCGACGCCGGTTCGATGGTGTCAATAGCATGTGACGGTCGGAAGGTCATGTGACCGCGCCCTCGATTGTCGGTTACGTTAGGACTTTTTTGTGAATATTGGGTAAAATATAGAGGTTGTAAGCGAAATAAAGTAAAAGATTCAATAAGGTTTAGAGAGATGCTGATATCCATATAGTCGTATCGATCAAGGGATGTTAAGATGTCAATAAGTAATAATTTAGATGATGTAAATAAGTAATTTTTAACATAACGATGTGTCGTTACGGGCTGCGCAGGCGATTTAAATAAAAGCTAGTGATGTTGTGAAGATGTATTCACGATATGGTGATAATAAAGGAATCGTGAAGATATATTTGTTGCATCGAAAGTAGCGATTTATCTAAAGTAGCGCCTGGCTAAATTAAGCCCCTGAAATCAGCATTAAGTTATAAGTTTAGCCAGGGCACTACTTTAGATAAATCGCTACTTCAAATTCGACATATTTATAGTACGATAGTATCAGGTTTCAAAAATAAAAATTAAAATACGAGAATAAAGTCTGAAAAACTTTAGTGTTACGTATAAATTAATTAAACTACTCTATTGATAACACACTTCATCTTTCTCTTTTTTATCATACGATATTAAACTTATTCTGATTCACATGCATTACAATCTAATTTGGGACTCACTTTGTTGTTACGAAATAGCCACATTCCACTTTTAAGGTCTTCCTTCAGTATCTTACTTTCACCAAAACGTCTATTCCGAATTAACTTCTTTCACCATTCCTTAAATTGACGGCGTACACGGCGTATAGAACCAGCTGATCTTTATAATAATTGAATGTCTCATGTGCGGACTATAGATCTCCAGTTCCAGCACTACTTCTGGAGGACGATACTATATAGTGACCCCACGGGCTATGTAGTGTCTTGGATATCGGACGATTCATCCTCATACGTTTTCAGTCGATCATGATATAATATTTAAGCATAATATGTAATATAAATATAGAAATATCGAATAGATATATATATAGTAATTAGAAAATATAAACAATGAATATTATAACAAGTAAATATAGTAATAATTAGTTGATACAACCGAAAAAATATTGAAATTGATGAACAAGAAAAAAGGAATGTTCGGTAGGACGGTTTACGGTTGGACAGTGGCGCAGAAAAATTTCAGGAACCGTTGATGTTACACGATTGATTCACCCGTGTGCAACATATAAAAAAATTATTTTACAATACCAGATATTCCTCTAGTACATGTTATTGATTATAATCCCACACCATTTTTATTATAATAAAATGGTGTGGGATTATAATCATAACATGTACTAGAGGAATAATCTGGTATTGTAAAATAATTTTTTTACATGTTGACGGTTCCTCTGTTGACGTAGTAACACCGGCTGGGTTACCAACCAATCATCATCGACAATAAAATACAGTGATTATTTCATACTTCGCATGCAATAACTATATAGAATTATTTTGTAATACGGGCGATGGTTCATGTGGTGTTCCTGTGTTCTGCATATAATGGTCGTGTTCTTTATTTAACGGCGAAGGTGCTAAAATAAAGCTCTTAATAGAGCATATTTGTTAGTGTTCTCTACACTTTTTTTTTTTTTACTTTTTGAAAGAAAAAAGATCGATAAAATTAAAAGTAGAACGGTCTAAAAATTATTTAGTTAATTTGATGACGTGTTAGTTACGTCTACCCATGGGAAAGCTCAGCTATTAATGACATCAGTAGATACGAGATATTCCATTAAACTAAGTGACCTTTGTCCACATGATTTTACTATTATTCTATGGAAAATCCCGTATCCAAAGATATCATTAAATGATAAGAATACATTAAAGTAGAGAATAGCCGTTCCAACTTTGATGATTTTATATTTAAAGGAATGCTGCAAACTGTAAAAGATTTTTAAAAAAATTTAAGATGGTATAAAATGGATTAAAAGGTCCTGAAATATAACAATTAAGCTTGTTAAATATTTAGTTAGAGTCGGAATTCAGTGGAAATAGGCATTTTTTGTCAAAATAATACCGATATTTCATGAACAACCGATCCGTTTTCAATGGTTTTTATTTTAAATGATGCGATGAATGTTAGCATTCATTTAAGTCCAAATTTATCCAAAACGGATTATTCATTCTTGAAGAATATGTATCATTAATTAGAAGTAGGTTTATATAAAATTTCAAATCATGAATTAATACATTGAGATGAATTTTTATATTTGTTACTTTTTTAATAATTTAAAATATATCAAATTTATTTGCTGGGACTAATTTATTCGTGAAACTAGCAACCTATATTAACTTTTATTTAACAAGTACAATGCATGAAATGATTTATGGGAATCCTATTTGTTTTAAAAAAATTATATTTATGAAAAAATCATTATTTTTAAAAAAATATAACGACATCAAAGATAAATATTATTCTAAATTAGATTTATAGCCAATTATAAAGACCAAAATTATTTTATAATAATAAAAATAGGTAGAATCAGTAAGGTTTAAATTTTAAAAAGAAAACATTTGCATTTTAACTATTCGTGAATGTAAAAAAAAATCTATTACGTACCGAAAGTTATCCTCCACATTTTTCTGCAGCCGCAAAACGAGCTTCCTTGTCTGCTACAGTATCGCAAGTGGTGCTGGTACCTCGTTTGTTTACAAGTGGAAGTGCAAAGCATTGTAGAGTCGTAGCACATGGAATGAGTACGAATTTACCATGATCACACTTAGCAGCATCTTTTCCTATACAAGCAACTTCACCATTCTCACAATCGGAATCTATATCAAGAGTTTTGTAAAACTTATTCAGCTTGTTAGCATCGTCAGCGTTTAATTGTTGAACACATTTTTCCTTTTTTTTTCTTTTATCAATTGCAACTGCTGATGTATCAGAAATTAAGGCAGTAATGAGAATGAAAATAATGAAAAGGTAGGAATAATTGTGGAAAAGGGTGGCAAAAAATTTCATTTTCAATAGAATTTGAGTGAAAAAAAAATTGGAAAAATATTTGGAAAAATATTAGGCACAAGAAATGAACATGAGACAGGAGCCAACCTTTTATATGATAAATGTGAACAATCGTTTTATAGTTTAAACGAACGTATTTTTATAAATAGTTTTGATTTACTATATTTCCATAAAATAATGCTTCAGGCTAATACGAATGAGGATTTAATACTTAATTTAACTCAATATGAGTTATAGTTTTATTTTTTAAAAAAAATCTTTGCTAAATAATTAACTATTGGATCTCCTAAACACAAATTTCTGGATGACGCCATGGGGCGTTATTTTAATGAATATGATCTTTCCAAATTTATTTTATAATCCATAAATTACCGATGGATATATACGTATCAATATATGGTAAAATGCATATCCTTATTTAAGTAACAAATAATTAATCGGATCAATTTTTGTTTCAAGATTCATAATCATTTCCTTATTGAATGTTATTTAAGATCATCAAAATTAATTTGTGTTCCAATAAGGAATAATTCGTAAATTTACTTTCATATTAGAATGGTAAAGTTGTATACGTAATTTTCACAATTTCTATATCAAATAGTATTCTTACTATTTTTAATTAGTGTTAACGTTACAATAAATTCTTTAAATTCTGGGCATAGCCTTTGTTTCGAAAACCGTATCCCTTAAAAATGTCCCCGAACATCGCGACCTCGAATGATTAAGTATCGGGTAAACAATGTGCTGTATCGTTAATATATTGAGTATTGACGAATATATAGCTGTATATTAGGTGAGTTCCGCAATTAATATCTTATTTCGAAAAAACGCATATGCGCGTATCAAAAATAACGCCAATGGGCGTACTCGCACGTAGTCGAAATAGCGCGCTATTTCGAGAATTTACGGTAATCATTTATCTTCATTTTATTTGGTAAAAACTATATATATATTTTTTAGAATGATTTGATAATCTATGTACTTTGTTTGAGGCGAGATAAGATTATTAACCTGCCAATCAGAATAAGGTTCGCATGTGATAAGTCCACTAAACCGGAATAATCATATTCATAATATTATAAATGATATTTATATGTGAATCTACCAAGAATGATAATATTAAATAAATCAAATATTAACTCCGCCTTGGCGATTCCTATTTTTGGAAAAGTATTGAATATTCAATATAACCTGTAAAATTATGCATGACAACTACCTACTGTAAAAAGTAAAGTTTTGAAAATCATTAAATTATTAAAATTATAGAACAGGGTGAAACTTGAGTTGCGAAATAGTGAAATTCGCTTTGTAAATCGGTTAAATAAAAGTAGATTTCACCCGATCATAGCGGATTCCACTATTTCGCAACTAAGGTTTCATCCTGTCATAAAGTTATTATTAAATTGTTTTACAAAAACGAAAAAAAGTACCATAATAATTTAACTATATTAATTTTCTTTTTGGATTTACATAATTCATTTTCTAGTTGGCAAAATAAATATCGTGTAATGAATTTCCCTAAATTAGTACTTGTGAAAATCTGCGGTATTGCGTGATGCAGAAGTGGACGAAAATAATATGATGCTAGTCGAACCAAACTACCCAGGAATAGAAATTTTAGGTCAAAAAATAGAGCTTAGTGGATTAGTATTGATTTGTTAATAACTAAATATATCTTTACATATACACTGCTTATGCTAGGAAAACAATAAATCCGGAGCGAGTTAAAAAATTGTCCAATCAATTATATGATTGGTCACGTTGATGGACAGGCAGACAAATTTCATCTCAAGCCTCCAGTATGTGCAGATCATCTATAATCACATAGGCGGAAAGAACAGACGGACAAAAATTGCTAGTGACCTGAAAATGTAACTCCTTCGCTTCGCTCCGAACAATTATCTGACTTTAACCAAATTATCTGCCATGAAAACGAATGCATATTTAGAATCACACGATTCGTCTTATATCTCATAGATCATTTATCAAATGATTCGCGCAGTAAATTTAGATTTATATAATGAATAAATAAGATAGCTGCGCGACGTTGTCACGCAAAACCAGGAACGTGAGGAGTATCGGTATTTCATTTAGTAGATATATAGGTTGTCACACTATTAGGCATGCGATATATGGTGACGCAGATACCCGAAGGACAAATGAATTATTAGGATCATACATAACATGACATGATCAGAAAGATTTAAAGTAAACGTTCGTTTTGTCAAAGTTGTTCATTTTGTCAAAAATTTACTCAATAAAAAAATTTTCACAATCGATTCTCCATCTTGTTAATTCTAATTTAAATATGAATGTTAGTCTTTATAGCAATGAGTTTTGAAGATTTTCAGTACTTCAATGTGCGTCAGGTTCGTGGCACAGCAAAAATTCTCTAAAGCTCGTTTATATTAGGGGTTTAGGAATTATAAAGGAGCAATTTATACAGTAAAATTGCCCAATGAATTCTGACAAAATAAAGGGTTGTTTTGAATTTTCTTGATCGTGTTAATTCCCACCTGATCGTGAAATCTGATTCGTATTTTAGGAAATTTGCATCATATGTTCGGCACACAAGAGTTTGTGTATGACACCATCGAAGGTGGCTGTAAACCATATCCTTCGTTTCACTTCGTTCCTGGTATATTTTAAAAGGGCATTCATTCGGTAACATCGTTTTGAAAGGAATGTAAATTTAATGTATTGGTAAAAAGTCGGATCTTACTTCTGATATATGAAATAAATAGTATTACTAGCTATTTGCTAGAAAATAGTGCTATTTAGATGATACAAAAATTCACTGACTCTGTACTCTATGTACTTTTGTACTCCGTTCTTGGTACAGCCGCACGAACCTAGCATGACCACCAAGATCAGTTACGTACGGAGTTTCACCGATTAATATGACGATTTCTGTATTATATATTAATACGTAAATAATCTGAAAAAAAGAAACTTTGATTATCTTTTTTCCATATCTAAATATCAAAGAAATTTTTTTGCTATAAATCAAAAAATCAACAATAAAAGATCTGTATTAAACGGTTAAAAGAGGCATAGATTCAGAGAACGCAGGGCGTGATAATTTTAATACACATACTATCAAAAGCACAGAAAAATGTCAATAGGTAATAAGCAGTGCATATTTCTTTGTTCTTATTTTTTAATGAGCAGTTTTTTTTATTGAACCTTTTGGAAAATGGAAGTTTATTTCTTCGAAAGTATATTTATTTATTATACCCAATAATTAAAATTCTAATAGTTTAGATTCAATGTAATTCGATTATTCTTTTATTATACCAATTGATTATTTGAATACAAATTCAACTATTTCTGAATATAGTAATATAGTTGAAGCGGATGAGGAAGATGCTAAGACTAGAAATTGCAGAAAATTATAAAAAAGATTCTTTACGATGTATAACTTACAGTATATTAATTGTACTTTATTCATATAGAGGTTATTGAATATACACATAGTCTTTTGATCATAATAAACAAAAAAAATTTTGTTTAACAAATATTGATTCAAAAAAATGATAAATGATAGAAGCATGCGAAAAGTCTTCCAAAAACATGGAATAGAAGAAATTTTTCATACCAGAAATCAAAGTTGTTTAAAGTATTTCTGTAACAAAAAACACTTCGATTATATTAATAGAATAGAATATTATTAACTTGGAATTTCGCTTTTTTTTTGATAAAATTTGGAATTTTTTATTGAATCATTTTTTATTGGTTTGTATTCGATATTAAAATCGTTAGAATTCGGTAACTGTATGTATATATGTTATACGTCGATTCATGACTTATGTTGATTTTAAATTGACATATGTCATTTTAAAATTTATACTGATTGGAATTTGACATATGTCAGATTTAACTACACTGATAACAATATTATCAGAACATATGATGTACTTGTGACCAATAGGAAGCAGAAAGTAAAACAAAAAAGAAAATTTTAAATTACATAAACTACTAAGGTTATAAAATTATATAAATAAAAAAAAATTTCTAAACAATATAATCTTTTTTATTTTTAACAATTTCAACATGACTTCAAGTAATTTGCTTGTTAACAATTTCAACATAACTTCAAATAATTGACTTGTTTATCCATTTCTTTCTTTTCAAACATTTGATAAAATAGTTAATAACTATATAATCAAAAAATAAAAGATATATATAAATTATTCAAAATATAATTATTGTTTGACTTTATTAAAAAATCCTTCAAGTATATATGAAAATCCTAAATTTAAATATTGGGTATTTTATTCATTTATAGTAATCAAAGTTGGAAATATTAAAAAGTTAAATATTAAAGTATAAAATCATAATTATGATACATAAATTTGCTCTAATGAAGATTTTTATATTATAATTTGTTAAGCTCATTATCAGGATATTGAATATAATAGACAAGAGAAAATATAGTTGATGATAAAATATTTATTAATAAAAAAAAAGTTAAATAATATATTTTATAATATATAAATTTGCTAACAGTATTGCTTTATTCTTCAAACTATTATTGAAAATGTTATAAAACAATGTAATATATATTATATGATATGCAAATAAATATATCTCTACAATAAGACCTATAATTACAAAAAAATTCTTTATATATATTTAAGTAAAAATTAATATAGTTAAATTTTTTTTATATAATTAAAATATTTTATTTATATAATTAAATTTTAGTTATTTATTTTTTTATATAGTTAAATATATTATTATTTTTTTTTATATAATTAAAAATTTTTTTAAATTAAAATTTTATTTTATTTTAATTTTAAATTAAGATAAATATGATAAGTATTACAGTAGTTATAGATAGAGAATTTAATTATATAATTCATATTTGTAATCACTTAAAATAATTTTTTGTTTCTAAACCTGTGATGATAAAATCTGTACAAAAAGTTGTAAGTTTTTTTTTATAATTTTGTTTATTGTATGAACTTTTTGCAATTCTATATTTAGATAATAGAAGA